TCAAGTTAACTTAAACCAATACGGAAGAAGAAACAAACGAGTGAAGGATAACGTAATAATATGATCTCTGCTTTAGTAGAAATCAAGTCGAATATGCTAGAATTATTGAACGAAAATTCTACACATTCAACTTTGCGAGTTAGGTTTTATTTTTGAAATTTGGCGCTATTCAAGACTTTGTTCCAGTCGTCAATCTGTTACACTAACAATATATGTCCATGGAAGTCATTACTAAGTTGAGGTAAACAATATATCCAGAAGTTCAGGGATAATAACGAGTGAATTGGTCTATCTCACCCTTACTAATCTACTATATCTTTACAAGGATTTACGGGGACTTTTGTCAGGAAGTTAATATGGGCAACACCAGGTGTCAGAAGGTTCATGAATCAGTAAGACATATTTAACTTCACCCTTTTTCCAATCGCAGAAACTAATGGTGAACTTCAGCGGAGATACTAGTCTGGCACAGTGACACATATTAACATATCAAAGCTCTGAAACAAACAGTTAATTAAGCTGAACAGTCCTCTGTAATATAGTTGAATAGTAATTTTCCCGTTTTAGAATAAAAGATGAACTTCTATAATCACTCCGATAATACCATGATTTCTTGTGTTTGTGTGTTGATTGTCATTGAGAAACCGAAGTCAGTCAATAAGATTCACTAAGAATAAAAACATCATCCGACCGCTGTCACTACTACATGGTGCAGTCAATAACATGTTCCGATTCGAATGGTTGAATAGTGTTAGGCTGATTTCTTACTGAGAGAAGAATCATCTACTAAAATTTTCATTAGATTTGTTTTTACGAGTTTGACCACAGATTGATATCAGTTAGAGAACCACTGAAATCCAGGGAGTACTGAATAACTGTTTCATCCTAGTTTGGGAATCATTAGCAGTACTCTAACTCACTGGTCACGACTTCTCACTAGAATTCCATTGAGTGAGTACCACCGATAATTTCCAAACTAGCATGAAACAGCTGTCTAGTACTACTGTGGCCGGTTTTCAATGGTTCTCTAATTGATATCAATCCGTGGTCAAACTCGTAAAAACAAATCTGATCCTTACAAACCAACTCTTGAAAATTAATCTGATGCCTCCTAGTGACTTGCTGCAGGACAGAGTTTCCTGGAGTTCTAGTGAGAAGTCGTAACCAATAAGGTTCATCCAATCAAGTGTGAGGATGGATTTCCCGTCGATAACATTGGTTGGTGGGCCTGCTAAATCACGAATTGGTAGAAGTTAGACTTCAACGGCTGGCCATTGAGTCAGATCCCAGTGGTTGAATGGTATACGAGCTCGTCTTGTAACCGGAGTGTCCTGGGTTCGACCCTCAGTTAGTGCATATTGTCAATGACCGATAGCTGCTACCTTGTTGTGGTGGTTGGGCACGCATATCTCAATGGCTCAACAAGCTACACTGGCTGGAACTATTGTTCCTGCAGGTTCAACCATGCCAGGAAGATTGTTAGGATAGCAGTTACCGGCTTAGTGTAAGAATTTTTTTACACTATGCTGGGGGTCTGTGGGTGAAGTCGTACTGTTGGGGAACAGGGATGTAATAGCAGTGTGATGTTTCCCTCAGATGACCAGCATGCCAGCTATGCTGTCTCTCCACTCCGGAGAGGGGAGGTTAGAAAAGGTCGACCCCAACAATTTCACATCCCGACTTACCCTACACTGGTCCGTAACCGGCAGTAAATTTACTTATACGGAACCAAACCAGAAAGTCAGTTCAGACAGGCCATGTGTGACCGGCTTCAAGTAGTTGTCCCCTGGGTTCACGCAACACTAACCCTCTTTCTGCTTCAGGTACCCCAAGAATCAGTCACCTTCCATGATGTGGGTGACCGAGAAGTAACAACCATCCACACACTTCGAAGAGCACACGAAGCCTCCCCGAGTATCACTCTTTTTCACCCACATCACCTTCATCATCTTATTCCCCTACTACAGTTAGTACTATTCTTCAGGCTCGTGAGTCGTCTTCACTTCACTCTGTGACCACAAACAACGATGAGAGCCGTGGGAACACCCCTGACAGCTTCCTAAAGCCACGTCGCCAACTTCAAATAGGAGTATTCAACGTCAGAACCAAATCGGACAACGGGCATCACTAGCACGAACTTTGGCATCTCGAGCCATAAACGTATGTTGTGTTTCGGAGACAAGCATAAAAGACTCAAGTTTTATCATTCACTTAACCTCACCTGCCCAACAAGGTGAATCTGCAAAACTCACTTGAGGGTGTTAGGAGACCCCTCAGGTAGTTCGCAAGGACTCGTAGGTGTAGGGATAGCTTTGAGTGTTAGGGCAGAAAAATCACTTCTTGACTGAATCCCAGTAGGTAGTCGTATGTGTGTGGTCCATAAGAAAGTGTCTGTCAGAAGAAGGAAGGACGGCGTTACCCGTCGTTGTCTTTTCGTAGTCTTCGCTTACACCCCAACAGATAACAGTTCGGATGAACTAAATGATGATTTCTACCTGGAAATATCTAATTTGCTGCAAAGAGCAAAACGTTCAAATATAGTTGTTTTAGCAGGCGACTTCAATGATCAAGTAAGTAAGTTGTGCCAGACTGAGAAGTATCTAGGTGGTATTTATAGAGTTCCCTGCCAACGAACCAACAACGGTGATCGTCTTCTACAGTTCTGCTCAGATAATCATCTGTTCCTAGTCAGCACTAACTTTAGGCACAAAGAGCGACACTGTTTAACCTGGTGACCTCCATCACCAAATCAACGCTGGACTGAGATAGACCACATAGCGATACGGTATCGTTGCCTCTCCTTTTGGGACATGTGCGTAGACTCCGATAACGCTCTGTTCCGCGCACGTTTATGCTTACGACCAAACAGACTTAAGAAACTGCTGGCAGAGAAACAGTTACGTCCCCAACTAGTTCGAGACTCTGAGTCCCTATTTAAGCAAGAAATAGCGAAACATGTGTCTGAGGTCAACAACACGACTTCCCTTGAGGTAGCCTGGCACAACATACAGTTAGCTGTAGACACAGCTATAAAAGTTGTTAATAACCTTAAACCTAAAGTTAGTAAGAGCCACTGGATCTCTACCACCTCATCCGAACTGATCGACACAAGAAGACTGATTCCGGCGAGATCCGATTATGATGAAGAGCGAAAGCTACTCAAATGCAAACTAACAAGAAGTCTTCGTTACGACCGTGAACATTGGTGGGCAATAAAAGAGAACGAGATGGAGAAGGCATTGGCGATCGGTAACATCAGACAACTATTTAGGTTTATCAGGGAAACAGGTGGTAAAAGACAAACGATAAGTGATACAATCTCTGGGAAAAATGGCACCATAATTAGCTCTCAGGATAGACGACTGGAACGTTGGAAAGAAAACTTTGAGGAGCAGTTTAATTGGCCTACAGCCACACTCAACTTACCTTGCATCCAACACCTCGCCGAATGGGATACAGACACAGGTCCTCCATCCCTAACTAAGGTTACCAAGGCTGTCACTAGTCTGAAACGAGGCAAAGCAGCAGGACTTGATGGAATGACTCCAGAGGTGTTTAAGTACGGTGGAGACAGTTTAATGTTTGCGTTAACTAAGGTACTAGACACAGTCTGGGAGTCAGAGAACGTCCCGTCGGGTTGGTGTAAGTCATTGATTATCCCAATATACAGGAAGGGAGATAAGTTCTCCTGTAATAACCACGGAGGAAGGGGATTAGCTTGACTAATATGGTATCTAAAATTCTAGGCTCAGTAACAATGCGCAGACTAAGCGGTCCACGAGATATGATGGGAAATATTTGTAGCTCAAGTGGATGATTTTCATGTGTTTGTGTTCTCTGAGCGTAATAGTTAATTTGTGAAGTTTTCGTCGCCCTACCAGGCGACATCTTCAGCGCATACTTCAATTTGAAGTGAGCTTTTAGATTTCTCCACGAGTTTATTAATCATCTCTCCTGGTGACCTAAGATCATCATAAAACCAACATCATCTACAAAATAAATTGTAACAACTATGAAAAACACTACATTTGCCAAAGTGGACGTCCCCTTCATCTTCGTATCCACGAACATAAGCTAGCCATCAAAAGACATGATATCCAATCCATCATATCACCACATACAGACAACCACGGACATCAGTTCGACTAAGACAACCAAAGTTCAAATATTAGACAGAGGAAACAACAAGAATGCTAGAGAATTTTTAAAATCCTATATGGTATTCCAGTGAATCATCAGTCAATAGACATATAGAGGTAGACAAAATTTATCAACCGATAAGAAAGAAACCTAACACACAAAGGTTCAAAGTTCAAGTCAAAGAAACAATCAGTTCCAATACCAGTAACCTAGACGATGTGAGAATACACAAAAACAACCAATCACGTCCAAGGTCACCAGAAGAGATGACTAGTAAATTCATGAATAATTCCCATTGGAATTCGCCGAAAAGAGACTCTTCGCTGAACTACTTGTCTTCTGTCTACTAATGTTCGAATGGGAATTATTCATGAATTAAAAAGTAGCAAGAATCCCTCGACAGTCAAGGAACTCAATGGGTTTCTACGGTACTCTGTCAAACTTGCGATAGTGAAAGCGAAAATTACTTTTTTCAATGATTGTATCACCAATCGCGAATATCCAAAGTGGTTTTGGAAAGCATTGAGAAGAAGCCACATATATCCCAACACAAAATCCCTCCGACGACATGCATTGAATCTTATTGACTCTATTAAAGCCCGTATTCCAGAACTTCAACGCAACATTTCACAAAGGTCTCCAGCCCTCCACGATCTGCTACCTAGTGAAACCCAGAGGTTTACGGAATATGTCAATACAGTCACTGAAAAACGAGCACAATCTACTATTTCCCGACTCACCAAAAGCCTCAAATCCATCAAAGCACACAAACAATTTCCTGAAGACCCTTCGAAATTCGTATTCAACTACTCTTCAGTAGCTTTATCCAACCTACAGTTAGAAGCCCTATCCATGGGCCCAAAATTCTGCGACGTCAACTTAAACGCCAACAGACTCCATACGCAAGTACAATTCGAAAACCTAATGACCCAAACAAATGATTTAACCCCAACCTCCGAACAAGAATTGCAGCGTTTCAAATCAACAATAATCGATAGCTGTTATCAGTATCTTAATACAAAACCAAAAGTATACAACCACCTGACAAGGCAACATAGAGAAGAATTAAATCAACTAAAACAAAATGAAGAACTCCTTATAACTCGTCCAGACAAAGGAGCCGGTATAGTCCTTATGGACAAGAAAGACTACATTGAGAAAATGAACAACATCTTGTCAGATAAAACAAAATTTTCGCAAACACCCAACGAAAGAAACAAAACAGAACAGATTGAAAAGCAACTCACCGATGTCCTGAAAAGAATGCAAACCCAAACGTTAATCACTCATGAAGTCTATGATCAGATCCGACCGACAGGGTCAACAATACCAAGACTATATGGCTTACCAAAGACACATAAAGCCAACCTCCCACTTCGTCCAATTCTGGATATGTCAGGTTCCCCGTACCATTCAATAGCGAAATGGCTCACTGACATTTTAGAACCTGTACGAAAACGAATGTGCCACCATTCACTTCGTGACACTTTCCAATTCGTCGATTACATTAAAGATATCAATACAAAGAACAAAACTATGCTCTCCCTCGACATTGAATCACTATTTACCAACGTTCCACTCACAGAAACTGTCTCTTATATTTGTCACTATATCGACGAAAATCAGCTGAACATCGGATTACCGACGACCTGTTTAAAAGAACTACTACTGAGATGTACACTAAATGTGCAATTCACATTCAACGACATTATTTACAGACAACAAGATGGGATCGCAATGGGATCTCCACTGGGCCCATTACTAGCAGACTGCTTCATGGCAAGCCTCGAGAATGGCCCACTCAAATCAACCATCGACAATTTCCAGTTGTACGTTAGATATGTTGACGACATCTTTATCATCTGTGATGACGGTCACGATCTCAATCAACTACTGCAAATATTCAACAAATGCCATCCAGCCACAAAGTTCACTTTGGAAACTGAAAATGAATCTAAAATCCCTTTTCTTGATGTTGAGCTTACAAGGAGAGATGACGGAACTTTAAGAAGGTCAATCCATAGGAAACCGACTTGGAACGGACAATTAACAAGTTTCTACAGCTGGGTACCAATCAGTCGGAAAAGAAACCTAATTAAATCCCTTGCCACTCGCGTCAGACGCATCTGCAGCTCCGACACCATGGAAGAAGAACTAAACTTCCTGAGGGAAATCTTCATACAAAATGGCTACCCACCAAGATTTGTAGAGAAAAACATCAAACAGAAAAACCAAAAGCAAGAGACACCATCCGTGCCAAAAAAGATACTTTATATGAACCTAGACTTCAAAGGAGACCTATTTAGTGACGTCCTCAGAAGGAGAATTTCCACCTCTTTAGGAAGAACTTTCCCTGCGGCAACACTAAGAATAGTGTTCTCCAGTCGCCCGCTGATCTGCAGAAACCCAAAGGACAAGATTCCGCACATGACCACTTCTATGTGTATATATCAGTTCACCTGTTGCTGTGGAGCCAGGTACATCGGTCGTTCAACGCGCATCCTGTCTAAAAGGGTAAAAGAACACTATCCAGCGTGGCTACAGAAAGGAAATAATGGCCATATAAGGAGTGCAATAATCGAACATCTCGTCAATACTGGTCATTCCATCTCAACGAACGCCTCCTTCAAAGTAATCTACAAAGTGAAGAACAACCTTCCAAAGACAGTACGATTCCGTCTTCTTTGCATCGCAGAAGCCCTAGCCATCCAGTTGGAGGAACCAGAACTATGCATACAAAAGAAAATTATCCAACCACTTCTACTCGCATGGTAACTACTCCTTTGATTTGACCTAACTTTTCTTTGTTTGTTTGATTTGACCTTACTTCTGTTTGTATGCTTATTTTTCTAACTTAAAACCCTTGTGTAATTCTGTATATTATTTTGTTTCCATGTACACCCTTTGAGCACAACTCATTCATCAAACTATTCATGCCATTACGTAACTCTTATTTAACAATCATTATGACAACTCATCACTTTTGTTACTATCCTTTTTTGACAACTCATCACTTTTGTTGCTATCCTCTTATCAACATCCAATTCATCTGAACTTACTAATTGTATTTTCGTTTGACAAATTTAATGTATACACACACACACAAAATAACCATATATATTTGCGATTGTACAGCTATGAAAATGAATTCGCCGAAAAGAGACTCTTCGCTGAACGACTAGTAAATTCGTGGAGAAATCTGAAAGCTCATCTTCAAATTGAAGTATACGCTGAAGATGTTGCCTAGTAGGGCGATGAAAGCTTCCCAAATTAACTATCCAGCTCACAGAACACAACCACATCAAAAACACCAGAGAACCAGGTAGGCTTTAGACCTGGAAGAGGGAGTATTGGTCATATCTTCACCCTTCGACAGATTCTGGAACATAGGAATACTTACCGGCATCCAACAATCGTTATATTTCTTCACCTAAAGGCGTCGTTTGATTCTGTCGACTGAAAAGTACTACGGAGATGCTTGGCTGTATAGAGAATGATGGGAAAATACATTGCACTGGTCAAGGCACTCCACTCGAACTCATGCAGTCAGCCAGGTGATAGCTTACAGCAAGTTGTCATCTAAAGTCTTGACAACTAGTGGTGTCCGTCAGGGATGCCCATTATCCCCATTTTTATTCAATTTTATTACAGATGCACTAATGGACTTTACCATAAGTGAACTCAGCGACTCAGGGATTGACTTGTTACCGAGAAATAATCTCTTTTACATAGAATAGTACTTCTAGGTGATTACGCTGACAAAATGCAGACTCTTCTGAACACCTTGAGTTGCAATCTACGAATGTTTGGCATGCGATTCGCTCTCGCCAAATGTAAGATGATGTTACAGGACTGGACTACATTGACTCCTAGCTTAAAAATAGGGAGTGAAGTGGTAGAGCATGTTGACCACTTCATTTATGTGGAAAGTGGCATCGGCCAGCGCCAACTGCTTGATAGTCGTCGAAATCTCTGCGTGAATACAGAAGGCTCGTTTCGTATACACCAGTTTGCGCAGTCTCTGGTGTAGACGTGATATCTTGCTGGCTGTCGACCAAAGGGCGGGTGTACTGCTCATCAGTCCGCTCCATCCTCCTTTATGGCTGTGAGACCTGACCACTGAGAGTGGAAGACGTGATGTGAAGGCATGCTGTCTTTGATCATAGGTGACTGCATCCTATCTCTCGTGTTAAGTGGTATAATAGGGTGAGCAATATTGAGGTTAGGCATCAGTCGAGTGCTAGGTAAGGAGGGGAAATCAATCCACGAGGCGGTGAATCTACATCGACTGAGATAGTTAAGACATGCGTTACGCAATGGCTGGAAACAATCGGTGATATGTCTCAAAATGGTTCTCAATGGCTCAGAGGCATCCACTCCTTGTGACTTATAATTTCCCATGAAACTATGTTGTTCTTCGTTATTACCATTCCCTTGTCTCATATCCCTGTTTAGTGTCACTGTTTTGCGTTTCTTCTACTTTCTTCTTTTGCTTTGTGTGCTACATGGAGTGTGGCGACTTGAACTGCTGCACATCGGTGCATAGGTCTATGTCGAAAACAGACAGACAGACTGTCGATGATTCCTAAACTAGAATTTTCTAAAATGCAAATATGATTGATTGATGAAACTTAGAAGGGACTAAACTTATGTTTCGTATTCATCAACACTAATATACATTAATTTTATTAGGATTCTCAGGAGATTTCCTTTTCACTGGATTTAAGACGATTATTAACTACTAGTCCTATTCCACATGTTACCGTAGAAATGCGTCGGTAGCACAGTGGTTAGGACTCTCGCCGACCATGCACATGGTCCGAGGTTCGATCCTCTGCCGACGCACACCTGATATCTATGGTCAGCCTGCAAAATTTGGGCTACCGATATCCATGATGAAAATTCCATACTTGTACCAAAAATACGGTGTGGAATCAAGTTGTAATCAAAAATAAATAGTATTTTTCAAATATTATGTCAGGTCATTACTTTACTAACATTAGGTGTAAGTGGAAAACGTACACGAAATGACACAAATTTAGTGTGTAACTATCAAGATAAAATGGGCCGGAGTAGAGGAGATAGTGACCCAATCAATCAAATGAAAGACCAACCAACCAACAAAGCGTTATTTGGGTAGAAAACTTTATAGAAAGTAGGTTACGTCAGACAAAATAATTACATAGGATTGTAATCTCTTACATGTACTAGAAGTTTCTCTCAGTTTGTCATTAAAATTCTTAGCTTTAGTCCAAACCACTTTCTGTGCATGAAATTACCGCTTTGATCGTATATCGTGTCAACCTTTCTGCGACAACTTGACTCCATACAGTATTTTTGATACAAGTATGGAATTTTCAGCATGTGATATCGGTAGCTCAAATTTAACAGGCCGACCTTTGATATCGGGTTTGCGTCGGCAGGGAATCAGACGCTTGACCATATGCATGGTCGGTGAGCATCCTAACCGCTGTGCCACCTACGCACATTCTTAATGTTCTGATGGGAAGTAGTACACTTTATACAATGGTTCCACTGCCTTGCTTACTGAAGCCGCTGTCCCGTATAGTGCTGTTGTTATCTTCTTTTCTGTTTTCTTTCTTCCTAAATGATTTGCCGTATTCTGGTAAAGCCAATTTCGTTGAGTATGCCAAGGATCTCACTGTTCCTATGCCGGTTACATTTCACTCAGATTGTTCCAAAATGAATAGCTTTTTATCAGAAATTACTCAACGTTTCTTATCGAATAGTATTAAGCCAATTCTCTCCAAATATCAGATTTTTAATTTCACCTTCAGACACAAGCGCGCCTTAGCTGGACATTTTCATTCCCACAATTCTCCTATCATAGATGACACTAAATTTGATACTAAACCGACTGTTAAATACCTCGGATTATCTCCTATTCCCCTGCACTTTCCTGGCTTTCCCACATCATGTTGACTTCTAGAAAGACACTTCATCTAACCATCTACGTAAGGAAGTTAGAACAGTCTGTTACTAATCAGTCTCTACGCTTACAGTTCTTTTGTTAATTTCACCCAATTCCTCCCATTTATAAATCTGAATAAAGAAAGAACGAGTTAATTTTTTTATTATCATTACTATCATCACCTTGCCTTCAAAGCAGATGATACTGCTAGCTGAATAAGATGTAGACTGAACGCTGCCCTCAAATGAACATAACCAGCTGCCAAGCTTGTATGTGTTTATCAAACAACCGGTTGTTTAAGATAGTCAAGAGTTGAAACATGCCCATATACATAGGAAGAACAGAGAGAATGGTTGTTATCCGTATTTCTGTACACCTACCCTCCTCACTTATTCGCTACTATATGAAAGCATATTTTCTGTAGTTATATAATCAATTACTTGTTATATTCTTGCTAGTTAAACTTTGTTTCTACGCACAAAAATCTGTTGAACTCTCTCCTTTTGTTTCCAAGCATAGATGCCTTACTTTCATATGAATAGTAGGGCCTTTTCACTCCTAATTATTTATCAACCTGCATCATTCCTCACTTATGTTACTTTTAGTTCCCACCAAATACCCCTTGTCATCTTGGACAAAGTATGTTCAAATCTTGAATGTAATTTATATTTTTGTATTGTTCAGGCTGTGGCCAGTTGAGAAAAATTCTCAAAATAATAGAAATGAGCTCATTTTATCCTGGTACATTTGTCATTCTCGTCTTATTCAAATTTTTGTTAATACTTGTAATCTACTTCCTCTCTTTTCCACACATACCCCACACACCCTCAGTCTTTCCTCAGCTACTTAAGGAAAACTTTATTACATTTCTGAAGGCAGTAAAACTGTCAGTGGGATGTCATTGAACAAACTTGTCGATATTGTTGTAGACAGATACTTGAACTCAGGCAAGAAATTGATGAAAATCACCTTGTCTAACTGTCAGAATCATCTCTATAAATAACTCACTCCCGGCATCTCATTAGGTATGAATAGAAGCAGCTGTAAGTGACTCTGTGCTCGGACAACCAAGTGTGAAAACTCTACTACACCTTATCTGGCACGCATTCTATGCAGTGAGGAAAGTATTGCACCTGACACTAATAACTTACTCTGAAGTAAGCTTACTTACAGTAAGTAAGCTCACCTTTCCATCCAACCTTTCAGTAATATGCTGTTGTTCATATTTCCACTTAAATTTTAACTTTACATTCATATTCTTATTCAAAAGAATTATAAATACAAATGCAGTCTTAGTCACCCCATACCCGTACTGAGAAATGTAAAGAGGAAATCAGATGGAATATTGCATTACATTTTTTTTGTTTTTGATAGCAGTTTGATTCCACACCGTATTTTTGGTACAATTATGGAATTTTCAGCATGTGATATCGGTAGCCCAAATTTTGCAGGCCGACCATAGATATCAGCTGTGCGTCGGCAGAGGATCGAACCCCGGACCATGTACATGATCGGCGTGAGTCATAACCGCTGTGCCACCGACGCACACATCCTGAAAATTCCACTTTGTACCTAAATTACTGTTTGGAATAAAGTCACTGTTATCATTTCGTGGCCTACCTATTGCTGGCATACTATTTCTCAACAGTTTCCACAATCCTTTTGAGAAAGTGGTGTGCTTCCCATCCAATCAGTTCAACAAATCAGAAGAATGACTTAGTGTTGTGAATATTTCTGCAAAGTCATTTGGTTTGTCGTTCACTTGGGTGTCAGTTTAACCTTGCCATTAACTGGACAGGTTTAGTTTTTCTTGCGTTTCCATCTCCTAATCCTGTGACGTCTTCCACGGCACCAGAGATACATAGAGTCAACTCCTCTACTTTGGCTGCTGTTTTACATAATGTCATAGTATTATTAGATGCAGATTCCAGTGGTATTAAATTCAATCGCATATTTTAAATGGATACTGTTTTTTTTTCAAAGTAGTTACTGCTTAGTTGATCCACAAAAATGTCGAGAAATAAAACCAACCTAGGTCTGTAAGACTGAATTTATTAGACAAAATGATATCATATGTAAATGTAGACACTTTTCACACACAGCCAGACAGACAGAAAACTGAAGTGTGTCATTGAAATAATCACTTATTCTGATTGGATACATGTGGTATCGAACTGTTTCGATAAAATAGCAACACCAATCATATTTAAACAGTAAAATTGTCTGCCCTGGCGGCTTGACCACCCGAAATTTCTCAGTCAAAAGAATCGATTTTTCTCTTCATTTATCTTTTACTTGGCGACATAAAGAATGACTAACAATTCACTATCATATATACATAGACATATTTATTGGTATACTGCTTTGAATAGCCTAAGCTTTTTGGCTTTGGTTCTGATAGTCATTATAGAAACTTTAAAGTCAGTATAATCCATTGAAAAACAAAATGAGCGAATAAGACCTGTAGTCAATTTCTATCAACTTTAGCTGCAAAATTTATCAAACACATTCTTACTTACTATTTTGACAACGGATTGATATCAGTTAGAGAACGATTTAAAATCAACGCGGGGTACTGGACAGCTGTAACTCCCTAGTTCAGAACTTTGTCAGACAAGTTTATCTGATACAACACACACTTTATATCTTCTTTTCTTTTACTCCGGCTTGTTTTAAAGAGGTTCAAGCTTGGAGTTTCAGTGGTGAGGGTGTCTTCACTAGGAAGGACTGCTAGTTAGCCTCAAACGCTCAACCTCCCTTCTTTTTCTGTCTTACTACCGGTCACGCAAGACTTTAGAGCGCGACGCCCGGGAGTCGAACCCGGGCCACATGTGTATTTGACAAGCATGCTGTCATTAAACCATCAACGTAGTTGTTCAAAACTGACATATTTAATATCCAGTCTATTGTAATCCAACCATTTTTCTAATCTTCATTTTAGACTTTAATAAAATTCTTAATGTACGTTTTATTTTGCGCATTGTCTGTATTGTATTAAGCGGAGTTTAATTCATCCAGAATTGACCATGCAAATTTTATCATACACTAAGTGTGTATTGATAAGTCTCTGGAGAGTAACCAACATCGTGTATCTGACTGAATTCTATCAGTCAATATGGTAACCAAACTATTTGGCGAAAACTGGTTATCGCAGTGCGCTTTGCGTTGACAAGTCCCAACAAGCACTAAAACTCAGCTGAATCCAAAGTTTTCCGCCTATAGTGTGTGTGTATGTTCACTAAGGTCATTATTGATTTTCTGTCTTAATTCAGTACTTCTTAAATTTCTAGTCAGTAAACACATTTTGATTTGTATATTGTACAGTTATACTTATTTGTGAGATGATAAATAAAAATAAAATATTCAAGTGTTGGTTTGTAGGGATTTGATTGATTTCAGGATTTCATCATGAGCTGACATTAGTTAGAGAACCATTGGAAAACCTGGGAGTACTGGACAGCTGTTTCGTCCTAGTTTGGGACTCTTCAGCAGTACGCACCCACCGGGATTCGAACCCAGGACCTTCCGGTTACAAGGCGAGCTCGTATACCATTAAGCCACTGGGACCCGATCCAATGGTCCTTGAATTCTAACTTCTGCCAATTCACGACATAGCGCGACCGCTAGCCAATGTCTTCGGCGAGTATTTGTCCTCACACCCGACCAGCTGCACCCTACTGGTCACGACTTCCCACTGGAACCCAGGTAACTACCTACCTGAATAGGGCCAGTCGCCAGTGAGCATCTTATTGGTATTCAAGTGTTGGTTTGTAGGGATTTGATTGATTTCAGGATTTCATCATGAGCTGACATTAGTTAGAGAACCATTGGAAAACCTGGGAGTACTGGACAGCTGTTTCGTCCTAGTTTGGGACTCTTCAGCAGTACGCACCCACCGGGATTCGAACCCAGGACCTTCCGGTTACAAGGCGAGGTCGTATACCATTAAGCCACTGGGACCCGATCCAATGGCCCTATTCAGGTAGGTAGTTACCTGGGTTCCAGTGGGAAGTCGTGACCAGTAGGGTGCAGCTGGTCGGGTGTGAGGACAAATACTCGCCGAAGACATTGGCTAGCGGTCGCGCTATGTCGTGAATTGGCAGAAGTTAGAATTCAAGGACCATTGGATCGGGTCCCAGTGGCTTAATGGTATACGAGCTCGCCTTGTAACCGGAAGGTCCTGGGTTCGAATCCCGGTGGGTGCGTACTGCTGAAGAGTCCCAAACTAGGACGAAACAGCTGTCCAGTACTCCCAGGTTTTCCAATGGTTCTCTAACTAATGTCAGCTCATGATGAAATCCTGAAATCAATCAAATCCCTACAAACCAACACTTGAATACCAATAAGATGCTCACTGGCGACTGGCCCTATTCAGGTAGGTAGTTACCTGGGTTCCAGTGGGAAGTCGTGACCAGTAGGGTGCAGCTGGTCGGGTGTGAGGACAAATACTCGCCGAAGACATTGGCTAGCGGTCGCGCTATGTCGTGAATTGGCAGAAGTTAGAATTCAAGGACCATTGGATCGGGTCCCAGTGGCTTAATGGTATACGAGCTCGCCTTGTAACCGGAAGGTCCTGGGTTCGAATCCCGGTGGGTGCGTACTGCTGAAGAGTCCCAAACTAGGACGAAACAGCTGTCCAGTACTCCCAGGTTTTCCAATGGTTCTCTAACTAATGTCAGCTCATGATGAAATCTGAAAAATAAAATAATTTTTCCTTCACGTTCCCAGTGGAACATAGGGCTTCAAGACAGAAGCTTGAAGTTTCTGTAGCAGTATTTATTTTTACAGGATGGGGTTGCTAGCCTCATGCCCAACCCTTCCTCTTTACCAGTATTAATTCTGGCCTAGCGAGGTAAAGAAGTCCGTCGGCCGGTGATAGAACCCCGGACCATGTGGATGGTCAGCGAGCGTCCTAACCGCTGTGCTACCGATGCATGAGATGATAATCCCTATTAAATAAACTGTAATTTATACCTCTTTGTTGAAACGAAACTCAGCTAAGAGCATTGGTGTCTTTAGAAATAAGGAATTAAAACCGGGGGAAAATAGCAAACTATTTAATTGACTGACAAATTTTGCTAACTTTTAGATTCGTCAGTGTGTAAAGTATACCAGAATGGCCTACAA